CTGAGCCGAAGGCAGACGCTTAACGGCTGAGCCACCCAGGCGCCCCTGGATGAGCACAAGTATTAAGAGATGTCAGTGGCAATGTTTTCTATAGTTCTATGGCAAAGAAACCTTATAATTAATTCTTAAGTCACCTTGCAGTTACTAAACAAAGTAAATTTTAAATAGAATTATGCATTGAATTAACATTATTAAAACGACTTATGTTGCCTATTTTATGTTTTCCAGGAACATCACTTACAGCGAGCTATTTCAGCACAGCAAGTGTTTAGAGAAAAAAAAGAGAGCATGGTCATTCCAGTTCCTGAGGCAGAGAGCAACGTCAACTATTACAATCGCTTGTACAAAGGAGAGTTTAAACAGCCAAAACAGTTCATTCATATTCAACGTAAGTTTGTTGATTCATTGTTTTCTGTATGTAATTTAAATTTATCAACCAGTGAAGATCCTTTCTCTCTTTTATGCCCAAAGAGATTTTCATTTTTTAGTGCATATACATTAATTCATAGAAATGTAAAACATTAAGGAATAAAATCTCTCTGCTTAACATCTGAACTTGGAAATCATTTTGAGTATTAGTTGCATTTGGGACATTTGATATTTAGTACAGAATTTTGTGTAGCACTTACACCTTATTATTATACATCTAAAAGTTGGTGGATTACTGTACTCAAATTTAAGATTTATTTTTAAAGGCCTAGTGGATATAATGCTGATTAGGGGTGAATCTTCAGAAAGTTTTTAGAATTAGATTATACCCCTCTGCTTTCATCTGATTTTTATAAAATTCTATTTCTGCCTCCTTGGTACTCTTTATTTTTCTCGCCATTGTTATATTTAGTCACGATATCTTGCCTTAAAACTATTTCCTTAATTTCTTACTATATTTACTACTCCTCCATTGCCTTTCCTTACCCTCTTCTAATGTATCTTCTCCACAAAGTCCACTGGCACCAGAGTGGTCTTCTTAGAGTGTCAGTCTGATCTAATTATTCCCTGGCTTAAAATCATACTATTCTTTATTGTCTACAGTAGGGGTTTTCAGGGGATGGTTCAAACAGATGTTGATGTTTTGGTATCTTGTCTGATTGTGTAAGAAAAAGCCTTGTGTAGCTTGTTAAAATAGAGATTCCGGGGCTCTGCTTTAGGCCTACCTGTCTGAGGTATGTGGCCTCGTAATAAAAAAGTTCCCCAGGTAATTATGAAACCTCTCCAGATTTCAGACTATAAGATCGACTGTTTTCCATCAGTTCTAAGATGCACATTTTTTTATTGATCATTTTTGAAATGAGATTGCATATTAAATTGTTGTTGTCCTGGATTCAGGTCTAGTTTATCTAAAGAAAACCTGCATTTGTTTCTGCCAAGCATGTAGGGACACTTCAACAGGAGACCACTTTAAAGTCTTTGCTGTTTATTTTGTTTGTTTTTAGACCACACTGGTAGCTTTAGTTCAGGCTGCAGACCCTAGAGTTCAGTTCTCACGGGGAGAATTTTCCCTCCTCCATTCACCTAAGGGCAAGTTGAGAAATGAAGTTCCTTGCTGTACCTTTTTGCATAGCTGGTTTAATTCTTTACCTTACACTGAGGTTGTTGCCACTTGTTAGTGTATCTTTGTGCAGGAGTATTCTATTAAACTTTATAATAGACTCCAGCAGAAAGCTTTTTTTTCTTCTTCTTATAGTACATAAAGTCATGGTTCACCTTTTAACTGATGGCAGTTTAGATTTGACGGAATTCAGTAATAGCCAAATTCTCTAGTTTGAATAGAAGACTGTGATTTTTTTTCCCTGTCTACTCCATTAACCTCATTTCCTGTTGTTCTTCCCCTCACTCTCTTTACCATAGGAACTAATGTAAAATTACTCCCATTTGCCTGGTTGTTTCATGTTTCACACTTCCTTGCACATGCTATTCAAGTCATCTTTCCCCTCCTATGACTCATTTAAGACCTGACTCCCCTAAGAAGCTTACCCTGACTTGTCTCATTTGAAACACCTCTGTGTTTTACTCATCTCAGTATCTTCGTACATACCTCTATTAGAGGACTCATCATACTTCATTGCAATTATTTGTAACCATTCTTTCTCTCCTTTTAAACTAGGAGCTCCTGGGGCAGGGACAATGTTTTATTTTCTCTTTGTATCTTTAGAGTAAAGTGCATGGCTTATAGATACACAATAAATAGTATGTTTGTTGACTGAATCATTTTTAAATGGCTTTTTAAAAGGCTCTTAGGTATCAGAACCATTTTCCAGAGACTCTTCTCTGAAGCATTCAAGAAAAATACGATGCAGAAATTGTTTATGTGATTTGTTTCCTCTGTATTCTTGGACTTTGACCGCTTTAGCTTGTTGAATTTGCCTTACCTTTGTATTGGGAAGGAGATAGCTGTTCATATTCATAATAGGAATTATAAGGATTTTTCAAGCCAAAGTATGTGTTTTTACCATATGTAAAAACCATCCTAGGGGCGCCTGGGTGGCTCAGTTGGTTGAGTGACTGCCTTCGGCTCAGGTCATGATCCTGGAGTCCCTGGATCGAGTCCCGCATCGGGCTCCCTGCTCAGCGGGGAGTCTGCTTCTCCCTCTGACCCTCCCAACCCTCCCCCCTCTCATGTGCTCTCTCTCTCAAATAAATAAATAAAATCTTAAAAAAAAAAAAAAAAAACCATCCTAGAAAACCAAGAATGAAGAAATTGGGTGTAGCCTATCTGGTTTAGGCCCATTAGTTACAATAAATATGAATCTTGGGTTGGCTTTTAAATTTCACTTCATTCTATTACCATAGAAGATGGAATAAAAATAATAGAACATTATTTTAACTTTCATTTTTTTCTTTTAGTCTGTCAACATATGTATTCTACATACTATATACAATATCCTCCTGCACATACAAATTTTTATTGTTTTTTCTATGTACATTTTAAATTTCTTAGATTTGAATATAGTCTGTGATTGTCATTTTCAGTGCCTATTAATCCTATCAAATTGATACTCCACAGTTTGCTTACCACTATGCCTATTACTGGCCTTAAACTTGTCTGTACTAAAATTTAAATTCATGTTATCATTGAGATTTTTTTTTTTCAAGGAAGGGATTTTTTTCTAAAGTTTATTTATTTATTTTTAGTAATCTCTAGACCCAGTGTGGGGCTTGAACTCACAAACCCGTGATCAAGAGTCGCATGCTCTTCTGACTGAGCCCGCGAGGCATCCCTCAAGGAAGGGTTTTTAAACATTTTTTGACATAACTTCTTTCTGTGTCCTTAAGTGTAAAGAATTCCAGAAAATATTGCTCTGGCTTTTTCATTTTGTTCTTTACGTGATAGATTTGAAAGTATCCCCCATTTGCTTGATTAGAAAAAGACATTGTACAATTGCCACAGTAGGGTGGCTTACTTCACATTGTTTGCCTGGGCTTTTGGCAGAAGCTTCTTTATTGGTCCACACTGCCACTAATGTGATTATTATCCATTTAGAGTTGTTCAAAGAGTCTCTTGTCTATCAGATAAAATTTTAGTGTTGTATTTTAAGGCCCTTCTTTGTGCCTATCCAGCCACAGTTCCCTGTGGGTTCTTCACTAGGACACCAACCATACTGAAATGAGCTGTTGGAAATGAAGGTCTGTTTCTTTCTCTGGATGGTAAGCTTCTTAGCAGCAGAATTTTACCTCATTCACCATAAAGTCCCAGAATACAGCCTCAGTACACATTTTTTTTCCAAATCCTCTAACCCTTTGCACTTTCAGCTACAAAATAATGAGCTCTTTGCAACACTCTGATATATGCCATCTTTTCTCATAACCTTCACGCCTTCGCATACCCCTTTACTTCAGTCCTCCACTTGTTAAAATACAACTTGTTCTCTATGTCTCGTCTCCAGGATTACATTTAGCAGCCTTCTCTAAGCAAACTGTTTATCTCAAGCCCTCGTGTGTCATGTGCACACCCTCACTGTGGCATTAACCACCTTCAGTTGTGATTGTTTGCCCTATGTTGTTTCACTAGGCTATAACAGTAATTAAGAACAGGGACATTTTTTTCCTCTTAATTTCACTGCCCAGTAGTACCTAGCGTTTGGTTAGGTATGCAATTTAATATTTGCTGAATAAATAAATGAGTGAATGAATGGGTATTGAAGATAAAAGTATACACACCATGGCATTTTTGAGACATTGATCTTGTAGGACTCAAAATTGTACACAGAACCAAATATAACAATGACATTATTGGTATGTACAGTGAAATTGAGGATCTGTGTGGATCCAAGTTGGAAATGAAAAGTGAGCTCTGTTATTTACAACAATGTCATTTTAGGACAAGAAGGAGTTGGGAGTGGAATGATTCCGGTCTTGGTATGGATGGGAGAACATTGTGCCTTCCTGTCTCTTTCAGTGCTATTTCTCCATAGTCATCCGTATTGGTAGTCTGAGGAACTTCTTTAATCAGAACACACTGGGGTATTCTTTCCAGGTTAGAAGCATCTTGGAGGCATATAGTCTTTGATGACCTAAGATACTCAAACTGTACCTCATTTGGCTAATTCTGCATACTGGTCAGTTGGATGACACATGCATAAGATGCTGTCTCCATTTTACTTACTGTTACAACAAATTTACTTTGGGTACCTCACCCCAGATGTTGTAATTCCTTCCTTCCTTTCGGAATTTAAGAACTTCATCAAATTGAGAACTCAAACTTTTCTCCTTGAGGAGATGACTTTGTTTACATTGTAATAAGTTCTTTATTTTGACCTTCCATTACCCCTTTTATTTAATATGATAAAATTTTGCTGTTAACATTAAGTATCTCAGAATTTTAGAACATGAAGGAACTTGAGATACTGTTTCAGTATTGTTTCATAGGTGTTCTGAAGCTAATTTGTGTCTAGTTTTGAACTCAACTAAATGGTTCTTGAAAATAGGACTCCTGGGCGCCTGGGTGGCTCAGTTGGTTAAGTGACTGCCTTTGGCTCAGGTCATGATCCTGGAGTCCCAGGATCGAGTCCCGCATCGGGCTCCCTGC